GAAAAAACATTACTATTTGCCTAATAGGACTTATAAAGGATTTTTCATTATAAAATTATAATAAAATTTATGGTAGCTAATATTAAAAAAAGATATTTTATTAATTAAAATTGGCGTGAGTGATAAAATTTTTATCACTTAAGCAGATAATTAAATGTTTGATGTCAATCATTGTATATATAATAATTTAATTGAGATGAGTTTATCTTTTGACTTTTATACCTTGGGACAGGATAATCTCAATTGTCAAATGAAGTTTACTTTTTATGTTATAAAAAGAAAAAAGAAAAATATCTTTGACTCATATTTTTTTATTCCTTTGGGTCAACAGAGGCCAATCGATGTGCGTATGCTTGCTGAAATGTTCAGTCGTTTTAGTGCGCCACTGATGGTGGTCCTTGATACGATAATGAATTAATTATAAAAAATATTTTTCAGTTATGATTACACTCTTTTTTTCGGTAAACGGTTTTGATCAGACTTTATGATTTATTATATATTTCTCTTATTATTGTTATTGGATTATGTAAAAACTAACAAGTGGTATTTAGAGGGATTGTCTTGTGAGATAATTTTGCCAACATATATAGATTGTCTTGTGAAAGAAAATAATTTTTTTTTTAAATTTAAAATTAACACTTCCGGTCATTTTCAATAATTTGGCCTTTTCTTTTTGGGGAATGTTTCACATATCTCAACAAATCTGTTTCTTTTAATACAGTGAGAAGTGACATGAAAACCAAAACCCCCCCTTTTTTTCTTTTTTTATTAAAAGAGCACTAAAGACTTAAAATTATAGTTGAGGTTAAACTCGTGACCTCCTACTTACTTACTGAATGAAAACCAAACTCTAAACCTTTCTATGAATATGGCTCTGCACATACATTTACCACTCTGCTCGTTAAAATTGACTGACTTCTAGGTGGAATTTTTGTCCTTAGTTTGCAAGATTCTTGAAGCATTAATCCTTACCCCCCACACGTGTTTGTTTGCTTGCTAAGTAATTAAGAGGTGCCATTTTTTTTTATATTTTCACAAAGGCTAAATATTATGTAAAACTCTCCTAAAATTTGACTTATATGTACACATAACTCTCTTTAATCACCTTTAAAACTTGAAAAAGTACTCTTCCAACTTTTAAGTTCATGTATATTCCTTTCATTAAAAAATATAAGATACTTTTAAGTAAATATCACCTCTAATAAAGTAGCTAATTGTCTTCAAATTAATATAATATTTTCATATTTATTTTTATTTAATAGAGTGTTTTACTTTAAAATAAATATAAAGTAATTTATTTATTAAGGGTACTTTAAAAAATAATATATTAATTACAATTTGACAAATTAAAAATGACTTATATTTTTTAACGAAGTGAATACTTCATTGTTTTATTAATGAATTGTGATATTTTTTTTAATCAAATATCCCTTTTAAATTTTTATTTTGTGTCGATTATATATAACCATTCAAACTTTGTCATGCATATAAGCACACTATCATATTGCATTATTGTTGTGAATAATTAACAAACTAATTAACGGCGGAGGAGTTATTTGCATAAATATAGAAGTTTATGAAGTTTAATTATTATAAATTTTTAAAATTACTGAGGTTTTCTGCATTATGTATAATTATACAATCTAAATTTTAGAGGTATTATGTATAATTAACTTAGCTTTTTGAAGTTTACACTAAATTTGATAGAAAGAGAGGTTCCAATTGATCACTTTTGAGTGAAAATTTTAATATCACAATTTAAAATCTAAGATAGTTCGACATATATCGGAACTAAAAGAGATATTAAGGGTAATTTATATGATGTCATAATTTAATGTACTTAATATTTAAGGATGTGATCAACAACCTTAACATATATATGTGAGATAGTAGTTAGAAGTGTGCTTTTTTTGCGTGCATTTTATCATTATCCTCATCATTCATGAATGTAACGGATCTGCTTGGATATTACTAGATGTATATAGTTATTTGCAAACGTATATATAAATAAGGATTTTTTTCATAACTGAATTGATTTAATCAATCATACAAATCCTTTATTCAGTGATAGTTTAATTATCAACATATCATCTCAGAAGACTACATCACTTGCTTCTTATGGCAAGAAGAAAGAATTGTCCAACAAAACTCCATGATACATCTCTGAATAATCACAATCATCCCCACCTGCAGCATAAGGGCTCCATGCGCCCATGCTCTCCATCTCTTCATCAAAAGGTGATGATGTAGAGGAACTAGCAGAGGCCACTTCCATCTCCATCCAATCATGATCATTAGTACTGACCGACGTTGAGAAATCCTGGCCGTCCACCTGTCCCACGTGATGATGATCAATATCATTATCGTCACACCTGATCTGGTGACTGCTGCTACTTTTTCTGATCTCTGCCTCCAATGACTGAATCATACTTATGAGCCTATCATCATCTGCATAGTACAGATCATGATTTTGTTCATCTTCTTGTGTTTCCTCCATTAATGCCATGAGAAGGATGTTGTTTGCCTCTGAGAATTCAAATCCTTCTAACACAGTCTCAGCTGGTGCTGGTGAAGATGAAGAAGTAGTAGAAGCTGCCATGGATTTAGCTAGCTAGCTAGAAGGATGTGTATATATATATTCAAACGCTTTTTCTGTTGTTTTGATTCTGGGAATTGAATGCTAAAGAGAGAGATAATTAGCAAAGAGTAATAATGCTAAAGACACAGAAGCATTGAAGAAAGGTGAAGAGAATGCAATCTTTATATAGGCAAGTTTCATGGTACTGTAACGTGATGTACTGTGGCGCTGCTGTCATATACCCATCAATCATGTGGTTCTAATTAACTAAGGTATCAATCTTAATGTAGATATCTTTAGGCACGTCAGATCCAAAAAATTAATAAGTACGTAATTAAATTGATTTTCATTGTCAAATATTATCATGATAATGTCCTATTGATGTTGAACTGGGAAGCAACAAGGGCACAAGTCCAGGTAAGTAAAATATAAAATAGTGGAGAGTTGGGTAACACAATCCAATAATTGTTGGGAACGGCACCCACTGTGGACTATTCCAAATGACTAATTAATTAATAATTAATTAAAGAATGACAAATACTTATGAAGTGACACCTATTCATTAACCATTTAGTGGGGTGGACAACTGTGTCTTAGATCTGATTGTGATCATTCTCCACCAACAGATATATTCAATGTATTGTTCATTTGTTGGTAAAAAATTGCATTTAAAGGCTTGTATTTTAAAAAAATCAAGGTTATATCACACAATTTTCCTCTAAATTTGAAGTTATTGCATCTATATATATAGTTCCTCTTATATTTAAAATTAAATTGATCATGAAACCCTAAGCCAACAAATTTGAATAAATAATCCCACGCCGTTAATTATTTCTATATTTTAAAAGTGGAATGTGGCATGTCTTATTCAATTTTGTGTTTTTGTACATAGAATTAACTTGTTCTAAATTTTAATTTTGTAATAAACTCTAAGCTTTAAATTAAATCATGTGTAACAATAAGTCCTCTTAATATGTTTTGTTAGAAAAAGTACTAATTAATACAAGGATGTTATGTTATCATACAAATTTTATATAGTTCAAGGAAATTTATTGCGTCAGTTATGCTTTAAAAGCCAGTTGGATTATCTGCATCTAACAAAAATAAAATTTAGAGGATAATAACATATTAACATGCAACATAATTTAATCTAATTTCTCCTAAATTTTAATTTGTAGATTAAATTAAAATTTCACAATAAATTTAATCCATAAAAATTAACTATTAAGTTTTAAAATTTGAGTCTTCAAATTCACACACACTGTCATTTGAAGTGAAGCAACTTTGAATAGATTCGGAGTGTAGTGAAATATTATAGCCGTACATGTTTAAATATTTATAAAGAGGGAAATATTGTGTGGTGTGTGTATATCAACCATCAAGCACCACTACTTTTTCTGGTGATATTCTGTCATCAGTATCTGCTAGTAGAATTCCTTGTCATCAAAACAGTCAAAGTCGTTTTTTCTTAAAAAAAGAAAAACGAAAGAAGAAGAAAAAGAAACGATACGGTGTTATTGGACATCTGACCTCAAAGCATGCACTATCAAATTAATATGTTGATTAATTTAGTAGGATTCATGTTTAACACACATTTATATATTAAACAATATCTTTTCTCCAGAGTGCATTTCTTAATTAATTATGATTCTATCTTGAACCATAACTTTATTAGATAAATGGACTAATATTTTCGAGCAATTAGATTTGGATAGGATTTGTATTTGATCATGATGATAAGGAATGCCCATTGCTAGCTATTGAGTTTGATTATATTGTAAAGAGCTCGTTGATCCTACACATTGAGTTTGTATAATGTATCAATGTGGATTTTCATAAACAATATTGCTTCATTTCACTAAAATTTAAATTTAATATTGGTTAATTATGAGCTTATAAGTCTAATTTATGTGATTCAAATTGTGTTGAATTGCAATATTTATTATCAATGGGTAGGTGAGCCAATTGGGATTGCATATAAAAGACGTTCCTACTCCTTGCCCATTATGTGTTTTTGGCATGTTAAATCAATGAAACAGTAATAATATTCCCATCACCAGGAAGGCTTCTCGAAAAACGACAAATCAAAATTTAAATTCCCACTGAAAAATATATTCATGTTTAGTATATAGTCATGCTTTAAATATGATTATTTTTAATAAGAGGACACGTGTCTATATTTAGAAAAAAGATAATAATACTCCAAACATACATGCATATAGAGGTTTCTTATGTGATTAATATCCTGAATGGAAAGTCTTCTTATCTTATATATATTATTTCTGTTTTATTTCTATTTCTCATAATATTAATGAACTTCATCCATACTAATCCAAGAAACTCCTCAATAAAATTGATCATAGTATTCCAATCTTATAGATAAAAAATTATTTCAAAAAGCTACTCACCTAGCAACAATGGACACTATATAATTATATTAAAAAGAAAAGACCATTGTATACAATTATGACTCAAACTATGAATATTCAAATCATGCAATGATGATATGGAAGGGACAACATCAATCATCCAATCATTATCATGGATGTCTGATCTCTGCTTCAAGTGATTCATTCATTCATTCAAATTACAAGTGTTAATTTTATCTTCAAAACATTGGTCATATATAATCTTCAGCTTATTCTTCCGTTAAGGTCATGATTAGAAGGACATTGCTTGCCTTAGAGAACTCAAATCCTTATAATTACACAGGTTTCTCGGAACACTACATCACTTGTTTCTTGTGGCAGGTAATTCTCTAACAAAACTCCAATAAAACTCTGATGAACATTGACTACTACTATCATCCCCACCTGCAGCACAAAGGCTCCATGCATCCATCATCTCATCATCGAATGAGGATAATGATGATGAGGGACTAGCAGCTTCCATGTCCTCCCAGTATATTGATGACGTGGAAAAATCCTCACCGTCCACCTGTCCCACCTCAATATCATACCTCTGGTAAGGATCAGGGCTATTGCTACGACCGATAATCTCTGCCTCCAATGACTGAATCATACTCAAAAGCCTATGATCATCTTCACAGTACTGATGATCTTCCTGTGTTTCTTCCATTAAAGCCATGAGATCAAGGATGTTGCTGGCCTCAAAGAATTCAACTTCTTCACACACACTCTCAGCCAATATTTTAGGAGATGATAATGAAGAAGCAGCCATATATATATATATATAGAGAGAGAGAGAGAGAGAGAGAGAGAGAGAGATCAAAGCAAATCAAAGGAACAACGTTAACTGAATAAGATGCAGAGCTGAATAAGATGCAGAATGGCTTTGAAAGGCCAAGAGATCAGAGCATCCAATCTTTATATGGGCAAATTACATGGTATTGTAGCACATGATTTATTGTAATGTGTCTATCATGTTCATGTATAGGCCCACATATCATGTGGTTCTTATTAATTATTTATCCATATCTTTAATTAACTAGATATCACAATGAAGAAGTGGGATTTGTGTAGACATCCTTAATTTATTAACTAACTACATCTCAGATCTAAAAATTAATCTATATGTACCATTTGTTTTTCTTTCTCAAATATAATATATTGGTTATATATACTCTTAATTTAGTTTATAAATGTTTAGAACGAAACAATATTTTAACCCTTAAGTTAGAGAGAGAGAGTGAGAGAGAGAGTGTGTGTGTGTAATGATTCTGTCTCTAATGATTATTAGTGGGAAAGAATTTTTTTGTTTATTTTTCTCCACCTTCATCCGCAGAGTTCCCATATTGTGTGAAGGAGATGCCTCCTTTTAGAAGTCAACAATTTCTTTGTATATTAATTTAGCACATAAAATAAAGTTAAATATAAGTAATTGATATTATGAGCTTAATTATTTCATGAAGAAAATGTTGGTGAAAATGATATATAATAGATGTGTCCCATCGAATGTTGAAATGGGAAGCAACAAAGGGCACAAGTCCAGGTGAGCGTAACATAAAATAGTGGAAAGTTGGATCACACAGCATCCAATAATAGTTGGGAACAATAGGGCAGACCCAATGTGGACACATAATGACCAATAATTATTGATTAATTAAGCAATTTAATGTGAAAATATAATTAATGTTGTTTGGAAAATAATATCAATGTGATATATAATTCAGTAGTTGTTCATTTGGTACGAGTGGACAACTATATGTGTCTCAAATCTGAATTGTAAGAATCATGATCACGTTCTTCTTCTTCTTCTTTTTTTTTGGATAAACCATCATGATCATGTTGCACCAACACATACATGTGCCAAGGATCGGATATGATTATTCATGGTTGTTCATTTGTTGGGAAAATTAGGTTTAAAGGCTTCCATTTAATTTAAAACAAGTTTATTAAATTGTACAAAATTTTCCTAAATTTTGAGTCTTATCTAGATATGCCTATATGATATCTGAGACTTGAACATAAAACCCTCCATACTACTATAATTGTTTTGTTATTTAACTAATCGAATGTATATATGTTACTGGAATATATAACTGTTTTAAATTTTAAGTTATGCACATATATATACTCTCTAAATTCTAAAATATTGAGATGCATTTATATTTTGAACTATTTTTTTTATTGCTTACAAGTATCCTGCTATTAGAGGCAATCCTGTTTGAGGCAAAATTGGGTATTGATTATAAATGAAAATTTAAATCTTAGTTCATCATGTTATGAGAAATTAGCCTCTTCTGTTAAAACCTAACCCCCGTTGGTCATTTTGAAAGTATTTTTGAAATAATATGGAATATAATTTTTTTAAAACCAATAATTTTTTTTTATTTTTAGTTAGTCAACATTAAATCAATTGTTACTAATTAGCTTATTATGAGATCTTGAATTCAAGTATTAAAATATACAGTTACGTTAAATAACTATGCCAAAGATATCTTGAGGTACCTATTAGGTCACTGTTGGTAATAATAATCCCATACAATGAGAGTTTAGATTAGTTCGAGCAGGAGGTAATAATTATCTAAAGTCTTTTAAGATATTGAGTGATGAAATAAAAAAAAAAAAAGCAACTATTACTACAAATCTAGACATCTTTGTTTCACAGTTTCCTATAGAATGTCTATAATCATCGAAGAAAACTTACATGGAAAAAAATCCTTTCCAACCCAGCTTTGAATCATGTATGGAAAGTCACCAGGCGTTGGTTTTAGCAGACATTAAAGGGATATGCTTTGCGCAATGTGAAAAACTCCTTTTAAGAGAGCTACCTCCAATTGGGTGTAAAAATGCTTGAATTTGACTATAGTGTTGGATATTAAATAATTGTATAAAAAATCATATGTGGAAAGTCCTCTAAAATATTACATAACAAACTAATTAACTAACAACAAAAAGGAGGCATATTTTGTGTCTTGTTCACTTATGAATCAGATCTCGAAACATATAACTTCAATAGATGACACAGATCGGACTAATACCTTTATGCGAACAGATTTGGATCATATTTCGATTAAAATATAAATTGAAGCTAAAAAAAAAAAGTCTCTCAGTAGAAAATAAAGATAAAATTTTATTCAACATGCTTAGTTTGATGAAATATACATCATCAATTAATTGAATTCTCTTACATTATACAGATTTTGAGGAATGATGAGCCATACACGCGCACACACAATAATAATATAATGCAAATTAGTTCACGTGTATCCTTGCTCAGTGATAATTTCTGTTCCTTCATAATATTTTCAATTATAAAAGAAAGACCAATGAAAGATCAGTAATGATTGTCATATAATCTGCACCATGACTCATTGAATTCAAATTATCAAATGGTGATATGGAAGAGATTATAGCATCCATCATACAGTAATCATATAATTATCATCAATGACTCATGATGACGTGGAGCAATCCTGACCATCCACCTATCCCATCAGTGTAGGGTTAATGCTGATCTCTGCCCATATTGAGACTGTTTCGTTCTTACAAGTACTCTTTCGTCTTCACAGTACTGGTTCTAATCTTCGGTTTCTATTTGCTTATTAACATCTCAGAACACTACACCACTTGCTTCCATTGGAAAGTAATTCTCCGACACAACTCCATGATAGAACTCTGATGAATAATCACCACTATCATCACCACCTGCAGCAGAAAGGCTCCATGCATTCATCATCTCTTCGTCAAATGAAGATGATGATGTTGATGATGAGGGACTAGCAGCTGAGACCACTTCCATGTCCTCCCAATTATCTGTACTGAATGATACTGATGACGTGGAGCAATTTTGATCATCCATCTCTCCCACCTCATCAGTAATATCATAGCTCTGATAAGGATCAGAAGTACTGCTAGTTGAACTGATCTCTGCCTCCAATGAGTGAATCATACTCATGAGCCTATCATCTGCATAATACTGATCTTCCTGAGTTTCTTCCATTAAGGCCATGAGAAGGATTTTGTTGGCCTCTGATAACTCAAGTCCTTCACACACACTCTTAGGCATTGAAGAATAAGAAGATGCTGCAGACATGGAAGTGGCTAAAGTGAGAGAGAGAGAGAGAGAGATCAACGTAATGGAAGAACTGAAGAAGAAAACAGAGAATGGCTTTGGCCTTTGAGGGGTGAAGAGAGTGCGATCTTTATATAGGCAAGTTACATATGGTACTGTAACACATGATTTTTGTAAGATTGGCTGTCATAGGCCCACCTATCATGTGCTTCTAATTAATTAATTGATTGATGTACAAATCTCAATAAAGAGGCGGGGTTTATAGATATCTTTACTTCAGATCTAAAAATTAATCAACAAGTTAATTATTTTTCACTTTCTATGTATATCTGTTATTATTAATTTAGTTTCAATTGTTTACTTGCTTAGAACAAAACCATGCTTTAACATTATTTAAATTAGTAGGTATATTTACGTTTTTAAGATTCACATGTGAATCAGACCTCAAATCTTGTGTTTAAGTGCGCGTTCATAACCCATTTTATTAAGATCAATGTCAATAAGTCAATCTATTAATTAACACATAAAAATTTAAACATAAGTAATTAGTAATGTACTAAATTATGAGTTTAATTATTTCATAAAGAAAATACATTAGAAAATGATACATATGAGATATGTCCCATCAATGTTGAACTGGAAAAGCAACAAAGGGCACAAGTCCAGGCAAGCTTCATAAAATTAGTGGAAAGTTGGGTAACACGCAATCCAATAATGGTTGTGAACAGTGGGGCAGACCCAATGTGACCCCTATTGACCAATAACAATTATTATTTGCGTGACAATTACTTTTGTATTGGAAAATACTATAATTGTGATTTGATAATTCAGTTGTTCATTTGGCGGTGTGGTGGACAACTATGTCTCAAATCTGAGAATTGTAATAATCATGTTCAACCAATGCACATGTGCAAGGATATGATGATATAATTCATGGTTGTTCATTTGTAGGAAAAATAAGGTTTGAATTAATAAGGCTTCCATTAATTTCAAAACACGATTAATTTTAAATTGCACAAGATTCCCCGAAATTTTGAATCATATCTGGATATACCTATTATATTTAAAACTTGAAACATAAGACCCTCCAAGCTAATATTAACACATTTTTCCTGACAGCTAAGTCCCATACTAATAATTATTTTGTTTATTTCACTAATAGAACGCCATATATATATATATATATATATATGCAATAGTAGTATATCCAGACAAACTAACAACAAATTAAAGGAGGCAGATCCAAAAGAAAAGAAGGTATTCCCCATATTGGAAGAATAAGTAAGAACATAGAAGTCAATGTTGGTGACATGCAAAAATTGAAAAATTTTAAAAGTTTTAATGCCTGGTTTTAAATGCAGAAAATTATTTTCACATAATTAACCTAAAATTTAATGTATTATGTACAACTCAACCTTATAATTTTCTGAATATTTGACATAAATTAAATATAATATATACGCAAATAGTAATCTTAAGTAACTATGATTTTCTTCTAATTATCAGAAGTTTTGAAGACAACAAACACTAAATTGTAATTAAATAATTATTTCCTCTTGAATCATGTTAAATTACAAAATTGAAGCAATTAATGGATACTTGATTGAAGCTATATGAAAGGAAAATTAAAAGAACCTTTGGAGTTTGGAGGTTGGTAATCATGGATTAATTGTGTAAAGTTTCATATCAACGGTCAATTAGCTTCAAAGTATATAAGGAGAAAGAAGACATCTAATTTACAGTGTAAAGGTGCTTTCTAAATCTACACTGAAATACCAGAGATAAAAATTGGTTAAAAAATAAATAAATACATATGTCTACAAAAGATAAAATCTTACTCAACATGCTTGATGAAATATATAGCATATAATTAGGTGATTACAAACAGATTTTAAGGAATGAACTGTCCATGATTTTGAGGAAGTCATATTTCTTCAAACTAAGAAACAAAAGGAGTTATTCTTTTTCTCTTCTGAATATATATGTAATGATTTTATTATTACATATATATGTATCCTTTTCTCAGCTTTCTCTTTGTTTATGAACTTCTCAGAACATTACATCACTTGCTTCATCTGGCGAGTAATCCTCCAACACAACTCCATAATAGAACTCTGATGAATAATCACCACTATCATCCCCACGTGCCTCATAAAGGCTCCATGCATTCACCATGCCTTCATCAAATGAATATGATGATGATGACGACCTAGCAGAGACCACTTCCATGTCTTCCCAATAAGTACTGAATGACAAGGATGACGTGGAGATATCTTGATCATCCACCTCCCCCACATCCATATCAAAGCTCTGGTAATAAGGATCAGAACTACTAGTGGAACTGATCTCTGCCTCCAGTGACTGAATCATACTCATAAGCCTATCATCATCAGTATAGTGCTGAAGATCTTCCTCTTGCTGTGTTTCCTCCATTAAAGCCATGAGAAGGATGTGGTTGTGCTTGGCTTCTGATGAGAACTCAAGTCCTTCAGACACACTCTCAGGCATTGAAGAAGAAGAAGCAGAAGAAGAAGAAGCCATGGAGTTAACTGTATCCTTTTCTTTCTTTCTTTCGGATCAAAACAGCTCAAGTGAGAGACAGATCAAAGCAATGGAAGAATCTGAACGAAGACACTGAATGGTTTTGAGAGGTGAAGAGAATGCAATCTTTATATGGATAAATTAAGTTACAAGGTACTGCAACATGATGTAGAGGGTGGCTGTCATAGGCCCACATATCATGTGCTTCTAATTAATTATTATTATTAGATCAGTCATCTTTAAATTAACTAGATAAGTCAATCAAGAAGTGGGATTTGTAAATATCTTTAATTAACTGCATCATATATAAAAAATAATCAATATATTAATTATTTTTTGTTGTCAAAGATATTTATTATTCTTAAGTTAGTTTATAACTGTTTGAACTAAAACAATGTTTTTAATCATTAAATTAGTATATACATTAAGTTTTTATCACAATTTATAAGTGCATAAAAAATTTTAAAGGTAAAAAATAATTATTACTAGGAAATTGCAATATTTGTGTCAAAATGAGAGGCGCCTCTTTTAGAAGTCAACAGTTTCTTTTTATATTAACTATCACATAAAACTAAAGTTAAATAAAGAGACTGCAATAATTATAAGTTCAATTTCATAATTAAACATCACAACACATATAATTCATATAGCAATGTTTGTGAAAATGATAAATAATAGCTATACATGTCCCATTGATGTTGAGCTGGGCAGCAACAAAGGGAACAAGTCCAGGTGAGATAAATATAAAATAATGCAAGAGGTTGGGTCACACAGCATCCAATAATGGTAGGGAACAACGGGGCAGACCCAATATAGACACCTAATGACAAATAATTATAATTTAAATTAATAGTGTTATAATTACTGTTGTTTGGAAAATGATACCATGTGATATGATGATTCAGTTGTTCATTTGGTGGAGTATTGATAATAGACAGCTATGTCTCGTACATATCTGAATGTAAGAATCATGTTCTCCACCAAGGCACATGTGCAAGGTTATGATAATTCATGGTTGTTTATTTAATTTGTTGGAAAAAATAGGTTTAAAGGATTCCATTCTAAAACAAGATTAAATTGCACAGGATTTCCCTCAATTTTTAGTCATATGTAAGTACCCCCTAAAGTATTTAAAACCTTAAAAAATAAACACGCAACTATCAAAGTTGTGCAAATACTCCCATGCTAGTAGTGAGTTTTTTATTTTTCTTTGGGGGGGATGGTTTCCTTGTATGCATGCATGCATGCATGCATATCCACCTTGTTCTTTTGTGTAGACAACATTTTTAAACTTTACGCTTTTAATTCTTATATATGAAGTGATATGCTATAATTATTAAGAATTATTTCCAAACATTGTCATACTTTAATTATTATAATTCCTATTTATTTAAAATATCAGTGATTTTTATTTTTTGTTTTGTTTTGTTTTTTTTTTCCTCATCTAATTCTTTTTATTGTTTTTTATATGATTTTTTATATTACCCGAATAAATATTTTAAATACATGAATTTTAAATGTTAGATTTTAAATTTAAAATTGAAATCTTGTCCAGCAATATCCAAATGCCACCTTAGTTGATTGGTAAAGTATTTCAATTTTTAAATTTATATTTATTCCCCATAATCACTTATTCCCGCCCCTCTAGTTTTATTTTATTTTTCAATATACATGTATTAGAAGTCAAAAAAGTGATATATATTTTAAGGAGGGAATTCTTTCGTGGTATCTATATGTATCAAGCATAATATATTATTATTATTATTTTTTTGTCAGGAGATGCCTTTTTTTTCTGCCGAATATATGACTGTTTTTTCTTTGTTTACAGTCAAAGGCCGTTTTAAAAAAGAAGCGATAAGGTGGTGGTGGACATCTTGCCTCAAAGCACTCACACTTGTTCATTACGATTTGTTTAGCATATTTACATGTTGCCATCTTGCAAGGTACTTACCTTAAACAAACACCTTTTCTGTTTGGAGCATGCATTTGTTAATATATATATATAATTCATATATTGAAACTTGAAAACTTAATTTTTTTTTCAATAAGAATCATTAATGGTAATATATATGCAATTATAAATCATGCCATCTTAAGAATATTAGATTAGTAAAGATACTTCAATTCAATTTGTTATATAATTATCTGACATTCATTTGAAGATATACTACAACATTTTTTTTTTTTGGCGCTTTTGGCAACACTTTGATTTGCAATGGTGTTCTGGAAGTTTTGCCTAATATGTAAATAAGTAATATTTTTTAAGCCTTGTAATTAATCACCACTTTAAACCATATAACAATTGAAAAATATTGTCTAACATAGAATAGACAACAATTTTAAATTGTTAAATTGTATTTTTCAAAATAGGCAAACTTACAAAATTATTTTCTTACAGCATTTGAAAATTGTTCCCTTTTCTAATAGGAAACAATTGCATAAGTGTTGTCTTCAAATATTTCTTTTTGAAACATTTAAAAACCATGTATTGTATTTCTATAAAAAAAAATGAAAACCATTTACTTTTATACTCTAAAATACTAGGTAGGTATCCATATGAAAAGATAAGTATTTTAAAGTATGAAAAAGGTACAATGGGAAAAATTCTGTTAAAAACCTAAATAAAGAAAAGAATACTCCTTTGAATAAAAACGAAAGTAAAATTTTGCTCTCACTTGTATATTTGGTAAATTATACATGTATCATCAATTGGTTTCATATACAATATTGTTGATTAGTAACAATTTTGCCATCAACATATCAAATACTTCCTCCGTTTTTATTTATAAGAGAAATTATTACTTTTAATTTTTTTATATAGGCAATGTTATATAGTAGTGAATGCTGGGCTCTAACGGGACAGCAAGAGCATAAAGTTGGAGTAACAGATATGAGAATGTTACGATAGATGTGCGGACATACACGTAAAGATAAAATTCGAAATGAGCACATACGTGAAAAAGTGAGGGTGACACCTATTGAGGAAAAAATGGTAGAAAATCGGTTGAGATGGTTTGGGCATGTACAAAGAAGACCAAGGGAGGTACCAGTGAGAAGAGTGGAACATATAACTTTGAGTCTGATTAAGAGAGGTAGAGGAAGGCCTAAGAGAACACTCTTGGAAGTTGTTGAACGTGATCTCTTAATTAATAATATTTCTAAAAGCTTAATAAATGATAGAGCACAATGACGTCTTGCAATCCATGTAGCCGACCCTACCTAGTGGGATAAAGGCTTGTTGTTGTTGTTGTTGTTGTAATTTTTTTATATAGGCAAAATTACATTTTTCAATAAGTAGTTATTATAATTTTTAATTATCTCTCATAATTTCATCATTTATAGTTACAAAAAACAATTAATGAAGAGTATTTTAGTTCAATTTTTTTATTTTTATACACAATTAATATAGTTAATTGATTTTTTTAAATTATGTAATATACTTTTTTTTAACAAATAAAAACGGAAGGAGCATAATCAAGAGAAAATATTATTAAAATTACAATTCTGCATCAAAATAATAAAACTGATCAAAATAATGGTTCTGATTCATGTCTGCACAAGGACTCCAAGCATTCAAATCATCAAATGGTGAGATGGAAGGGACAACTTGCTGATCAATATCCATAATGTCATCATAATAATCATCAGTGCTGATTGATGACGTGGAGCAATCCTTACCATCCACCTGTTCCATCAACATAGAGTTTCTGCTAATCTCTGCTTCAAGTGACTGAATCATACTCACAAGTCTTTCATCTTCACAGTTCTGCTCCTCCTGAGTTTCTTCCATTAAAGCCATGAGAAGCACATTGCTTGCCTCACCGAACTCAAATCCTTCAAAGACACTCTGGTGAATTGATGAAGAAGAAGCCATACTCTTTCCAATTTCTTAGAGAGAATATACAAAACGATGTTCTTTTTTTTTTCCCCTCCTGATGAGAAAATATCAGAAAGTGAGAGAAAAGAGAATTAAGAAGAAACCAAGTAATTAAGCTGTGGAAGAGAAAGACACAGAATTCTTGGGGGTTTTAAGTTGATGAAGAGAGTGAAGCCTTTATATAGGAAAACTAAATGGTGCAATAACATGTGGCGGGGTCTGCAGTAGACCCACCAGTCATGTTAGATTAAGATTTCTGTTATATATATATATATTATAGAATATTATATTTATTTTTTATCAATTTCAATAAATTTTGTCTTCTGTATAAATAATATTTTTAATTTTGAGAGTAAACAATAAATATAATATTCTCTGTAATATATATATATATATATATTGAAATTATTCCCCTCCCCTAATATTCTAAGAGTAAAGGTAGAGAGTTCTCACAATCTATTAAATTTTTCAATATGTGTAGTTGACTTTTTGCAATTAACTGATAAATAAACCATTATTTTTCTAACCTAAAGTATAGGAGAACTGTAATGATTACAATGAGCATTATCCTCCCTTTGTGCCAATTTATAAAATATTTTTAGAGGTAATTTGTTGTGCCAAATAAGACATTTTGACAACAATAAATTTTTATTAATGATAATTATTTTAATATTATTTCTTATTATTTTACTCCTTAAATAAATTTTTTTTCCACTCTTTTTAATTAACGAAGGATATTTTTAAAAGTTTATAAAAAAATTAACATTCTAAATTATATTTAATGTTACATGTAATTTTATCGAAGTATAACAATTACAACAGAATAATAGCAATAAGATGTTTTAATTTTATAAAAACATGGTACATCATGTGTTTAAGAAAATAATATATATATATATATATATTATTGTGCCGGAGAAGATTACTATACTAATTTGAATTAATGATGTCTGCTTGACCACTAACAAGTGGCACACATCCAGATGAGCATAATTTAAAAAAAATAAAATAAAATCATAAGACGATTGAGGGACATATCACAAAAGAAGGCAATGTGTCCACCCAATGACCAATAATTAAGTGACAATTTGTGACATTATTGTTCAAAGGATAAAGACACTACTTAATTAATAATTTGTTTGAGAGGACAACCATGTTTGGAGATCAGATTTCTGTGATAACAATGCACCAAGAGGTCATGTAAATATATACGTGCATGATGAATCAAATCTAATTTCTTTTGAATTTTTTATTTCAAAATGATGAATCAAATCTTTCTTATTCAATGGGAATTGATATATCTGACCTGGGAATCGGTGGAGGATATAGACTTTTTCTATGTTGCTTTGTCAGGTCACTTTGAAAGTGTTAGAGTTTGTGGATGCACGTTTGAATGTCACTTTTTTTTTTCCCTGATTGAATGTCACTTTACAAACATTTTAATTAAGGATAAAATTATTCTTGTGTTGTTTATCAAGGACCATTAGTTTTCATAATAAATGCATCTGAGAATCTTATTTTTGTTACATCATATTTTATTTTTGTTAGATCCCTTTTATGATAATGTTTATTTAAAATTAAATGTTGCTTGGATTTGATGTGAAAAGAATTCTCATATATCTTACTCCCTCCGTTAAAAAATATAAGGCATTTTTTAAGAAGTTGGATGTTTAAAAATTTAAGGCATTTTTAATTTTTTGAGATCTAATCATTACTTTTTTTAAAAGTGTCCCTATTGATGAATGACTTTATATTTATTGTAGGGTGTTTAATAAAGATAAATATAAAAAGATATGGTTAGTTTGAAAGTAGATAACTATTTTATTGAGGGGTGAGATTTAAAAATACTTTATATTTTTTTAATAAAGAGAGTATTTTATATATTCGACAACTTTGCACTGTGTTACGTTTGTTAACTATTGGATCAAGTTTATCTTTGAGCCGTTGATTTAAACAATCTAGAGATTAAAGAAGAGAGAATGAAATTAAATATTTTTAAGTTTAAACAAGGATTAAGAGTCACTTTTATCCTCAAATTTGTCATGCAAAGACTATTAATATTTCAAAGTTGGGTCATTTTTGTCCCTAAACATTTGAAACTCTAAGCTCTCGTACCCGTACTCCTACCATCTACGCATCATTAATTAATCATTTTGTTAACCTTTTTTGCCACATGGGAACTCAATGAGTATTTAATAAGGTCATTTTTGCCTTTCAAACTAGTGACTCAGTGTCACTTTGTCTTGAACTCAATTTTTTATTTTTTTTAAGTTCTTAAAAAATAATGTTTACTTTATAATATTATGTATTATTTTTCTAAAAAAATATAATGTTCAAAAACCAAAATAAGTAATATAAATTCAAATTTTAAAGTGTAAACATATATTTTTTAAGTTTTAAATTTAATTTTCAAGGCTTAAATGGGCTTGGTTTAAAATCTCAATTATTCCAAAAATGTCTAAATTTTTAAGTCCAAACCTTTATAAAATCCAATCTTAGATTCCAACTATCCCAAAAAAAATTGTTTAAGTCTTAATTTTATTAGAGTTCAAGCTTTAAGAAATAGACATTTTTGAGATAATTGAACTTTTAAGCCTCGCCTGTTTAAGCCCTGTAAAAATGGTCTAAGGCTCAAGCGTGATGTTTATCCAAACCTTTATAAAATCTAGTCTTAGATCCCAATTGTCCCAAAAAAAAATGTTCAAGTCTTGATTTTATAAGAATTCAAGCTTTAAAAAATAGACATGCTTGGGATAATTAGACTTTTAAGCCCTGTAAAAATGGTTTAAGGCTCAGGCGTGCTATTTACGTAGACTCATTTTTTATTTTATCCCTAAAAAATAAAATATTTTTTATTTTTAAATTAAATTTAGAATTTAGAATATATGTTTATAGTTTAAATTTGAATTTATATTACTTATTTTTAATTTTTGAACATTATAATTTTTTAAAAATAATATGTAATATTATAATGTAAAAATTATTTTTTAAAAATAAAAAAGTTAAAAAATTGAGTTTAGGACAAAAGTAACCCTGAACAACTAGTTTGAGAAAAAAATGATCTTATTAAATGTTGATTGGGCATCCCAAGTCTAACAAGAAAATAGCAAAACAATTGATTAATGATGTGTGGATTGTAGGGGCACAGGAGCTCATAGGTTCCAAACATTTAGGGACAAAAATAACTCCTAGTTTGGAGCATCTACAAACCCTAAGTCACAAATTTAAAAGTATAAGTGACTCTTAACCTTTTACAAAATTTCACTCAATTTGTATATGTTGATAAAAATACAAAAATACATGAAAACATTATAAAATTTTAAAATTATTTTTATAATATAATCAAACAAAACACAGAACAATTTCCACTTCTCATAAAATTTTTGAACAATCTTAAAATGACACATTTGTTAAGTTTAAACAATTAAACTCAATTTATATATATAACAATAAGTTATATTATTCATTATTCATGAAGAGTGACATTGATTTTGGATCTCACGTATTCATACTTAAAGACACTAAGGAAGTTATCAATCGAATTTTTTGTGTTATGATTTATCAAAAATTGGTTTCGAACATAACACGATAAGTACACGTTTGCATTGTATGATTTATGAAGTTGACCCCACTTAGTGGGGTAATGTTGTTTCTTTTTGTTTTTTGGTTTTTGGTAAATGTATTGTTGTTTCTGCATGCTCATTCACGCTACATGGTTCCCATTAAAATAGGGCTACAATACTTCACCAAAAAAAAGTTAGGGCTGCAATACATTTGGTTTGGAATGATATAACCGTGTATGATATTTTAATTAAATAAGAAAACGTAATATTAAAATTAAAAAATCAATGTGGTTGTTTTAAGTGGAAATCAATGCTAGAGATATGAGATGTGGATGAATATGCACAAAACAATGCCTCAAGTGCAGGTCCTATGTATGTGAACAGAGATGACAACTACAAGAGACCAGTGTACCAATGTTGACACAACACCAACTATATATTGTGTTTGTGAAACAATTGCTAGGTTGATTCTACACCGTTTTGATTTAAAATTAGAATTAGATTGCACCATATCTCCAATCATGTGACCTTGTTGGCAGGATCTTATGACGCCTTCATTAATTAGGATCTTTTTGCTTTCAACAAGTCATAGAAATATTATAAGGATAATCAAACATATAGTCCCTCAAATTTATTTATTTCATATATATCAATTTAGTTCTTGAAATTTAATAGGAAAACATAACTATTGGTTCATATAGTTTTAATGTATTTTGATATAGGTTCTTATAGTTTTTTCATTGCTTTAGGTCCCTCTTAGTTATCTCATCTTCAACATTATTCCTCTATTTTTTAATATACCCAAAAGAATAAGGAGATAGCAATAACAATATTAAGTATTTTGACTTGTGACTAACACCGTTAATTTGTGCTAAGTGAAATTAGAATTCAGAAAATTAATAGCATTGCCCATATTGTTCTGTTACATGTTTAAGGTTTCAATTTGTTTAAATATAAGCATGAAGATTAACGAGTGACATGTCAGCATATTTAACATCATTGGTGACATATTAAAAAAATAAAAGGACAAATGTTGCATATAGGATAAACTACATGGACCTAAAATAATAAAAAAAAAACTATAAAAACCTACACCAAAATACGATAAAACTTCAAAATTTAGGAACCAATAATTGTATCTTTTCAAATTTAATATTTATCAAGTAGGTTATTGAAATTTCATAATCGTATACAATTGGTTACTAGGGTGTCATTTCCCCTTCAAATCATAAGTATTAATTGCGCATGGTTATAAAATTTTAAGAATTTTATTAATAAAGATTATTATTTTTAGGATCAAAATGATAACTCAAGCAAACTTGAGGAACTAACAAATTTTATCATCCTAATATTACAATTCTGAGATTGCCAATGAAGGATTTGAATTTTTATTTTCTTTTTTATTTTCTTTCATCTTATACAAATTGGATTTGGTTTCTTTCATTGATGGACTTCAAGACAGTTCAACAAACAAAACTGATTTGAATAAAGTAACTCCATTTTTCTTAAACAAAATTGAGGCTTTAAATTTTATAGGTGAAAAAATTATGCAGGGCAATTTAATAACCCCTGATTGAGTCTAACGATACTTGAATTT